TAAAAGAGTTTTGTTTACAACACGATAACTTAAACCAATCATATGATGTTGGGCGACTGCCCCCCTCCCCAACCTGCATAGTCCAGCCATTTTGGTTGGCAACGTCCCAGTATAACCAAATACCGCAATTTTTCTCGCGTTTTCCGGTCGTTTTCGCCTAATTTTTGCCATCAAAACCTTCTAGGTGTAACTAAACAAAGTGTGTAGATATCGTAGGTCATGTTGGTGGTGTGATTTTACGGTCTTTGGAGCTGATCTGTTCGTTAAAAACGCGTAAATTTGTCGCATGTGTTGCTCGCTCAACATACAAGTCGGGCCAGGCGCCATTTTTGAAGTGAAGTGATCGGAAGACAGACGAAAAAAATTACGTCGTCTGCCGACGATTTCTGGAGTGTAACTAACCTAGATGTATGGCAACAAACACAGTCGTGACATCAGGATCATTTTAATCATATCTATGGACAGGAAATCGGACGATTTCGACAGCAAACCACGAAAGATGTGCGGGGAATTGAATGATAGGTTGTCTCCAAGCCAAAACACGGCGTCATGACTGTCTGGACATTTCTCCCTCGACAACAACGACCCATTTCAGGCTAAGATCTACAACTTACCTCAGCATCACGGCCTTTATGCTTGTAACTTCTGATCCTGTTGTTCAAGAAGTCGGCATAGCTTTCTCCAGACGACATTTTTGGGGAAATCTGAGGGAAATCCTCCCGTTCTCTCAACCCAGAAATCCAAAATGCCGGCCAACTTTGACGTCACTGAAACAGCCGAGCGGAAATAGTACAAGGCCTCTTATTGGTCAGTGCTGACCCACCCTGATTCTAAACGATTCCTGTAAAAATCTTTGGTAAACCCATTTGGCCTGTTTCAGACAAAGAATAAATAGGAAATCGCTTACTAAGATATACGCAGCTATTTCTATTATGAAGGATAAAAACGTAGTGAAGAGGTAATCCTTGAAAAACCGACCAACCAGGACTACCCTTTCATTCTTCGCACGTTCTTGCTGACTCAACTGGCCGCAGAGCATGCCGGGACAGTTTTCCCGCGAAAGTCACACTGACTCAGGCGGAAGTGATATGACATATTATGTTATGCCCAAAACAGTTTTGCGGAACCACCAAAAGGGCCATGCTGTAAAGGCCACACGGACGGAACGTGTGATAGAACAAACATGACAGATTTCAACATCACTGACCTTCATGGAACTGTGTTTGCGCCACCGGAATATAAATGTAAAGTTACATGATGCATACATAGACAAAACCGCAAGGTGCCGCTTAGCGATTGCGTCATCAGCCCCACCCAAAGCGTCCAGCTTTCCTGTCCCCTTCATGGTGTCTATGAAGTGTTTTAAACTACTAGTGTACTTCAAAATTCTCTACCTGGTTAAAAAAAAAGGTCCCATTCCACTCTGTGCAGAGAATAGGGGTGGTGTCAATCTCCATTTCTGTAGCCCTTGGGCCACACAGTTGTGCAATCACTACAGCAGGGGGCTAGCCTGCTGGTAGTGGTGTGTGTCCGATCTTCCCTTACTCTTTCTCACAGATGCTGAGTGCTAAGCCGAGAAAGCAGTATGTACAATTTTAAAAAGTCTTTGGGATTTGAACTCAAGCGCCCTCCTCACTGACCAAAACTTACATTGAGGTAAAAGCTTCCAGTACAGAGTTAGGCAGTCACTACATTTCCCATTTTAAAGGTCACATTTCCCTTACACAATACAATCACTGATAGTCTGGGCGTCATTCTTATAAATCCCACGCAAGATTTTCAGCAAAAGTTTTTTTGTTTTTGTTTTGTACTAGCGGCTTCGCTCCTATAATAAGACCGACAAAAATCTACAAACACAGACCTTTATAACTTGGTCTTCATTTGTCGACATTTCCAAAGCGTTCATCTTTCTCATCTACGTTTCATTCGGAGTTTGGTCAAAGCTGGTGTGTTGTAGACTGTAGACTGATTTCCTATCCAGAGAGGCTAAAGCCTCAGTACAATACGACATAGCTTGGCTTTAACCTTCTTTGATTCCGAGATAAAGGAGATAAACATCCAAGCAGATGACACTAGACAACTTTCACACGCAGCACTCAAACTTTCTGTAAGTCAATACAAAGTACAATGCAATATTTTGAATGAAAAAAAAAATCCACGAAATCTTAAGTTTATCTCACGTGGGCAACAAAGTGAAAGAATTTACGGCGTTATTCTCTGAACTGTTCGGATCAAACCGGAACGATACACACGGGGGTACACAAGAAGTAGTGATGTGCGAACGGTAATGCATTAAACATGTGCTGAAATGACTAAGAAAACTTATCCGGCATAAATTCGTCTCTGCCTTGACTACACTCTTGAAATCAGACGAATACGAGTGTAAGAAAGGGATTATAAACGTCGGGAAATCAAACAGGCAAGGGAATCAGCGACAACCTGTTTGATGTAAGTGGCAGAAAAACTACCCTGTAATCGCGTCTACCTCAGAACCACCTGTAGCTGTCGTATCGTCAACATTAACAACAACTCTTCAGAATCATGGCAGACGACTTCGCAGCCAACTCTGTACCAGGCGTCAGGCCAGACGATTTGTCAAGAGGCAACATGCTGCCAGCAATTCAGAACGTGGGAACTGTGAAGAGTATCTTCAGGCCCCCTGACAGTGACTGCATCCAGCCTTATGCTATCAAATATCAAGATGGCGGTGATGATGATCACGATGACAAGTCTACAAAACATGATAACACCACCTGCATCCAACCGTACGCCGTCGCATATCAAGAGAAAGATAATAATTACGCTGAAAATCATCAACATTTCAGACCAGCCCTACTGATGGTGAGGTTCAACCATACGCTGTTGCATACCTACACGAGAATGTTGCATTTGGCTTGGGAGAAGCTAAAACAGATGAATCCTTTCAGAGATCAGAAGCGGCGACAAGCAGCAGCAATGCCATTTCAGTCAACACGGCAGGACAAGACTCATCCGAGGATGACACTGATGTTTTGGCAGGATATGACAGTAACATACACCAAAACCAACGTCTACTCTGCCCTAAACTGACATACACTCGAAGCAACCTGAGCACTGATTCAATGTACACCCCAAATGAAGTGAACCGTGATACAATTTACCCGCAACACGCTGCGGAACACCCGCTTGATCTACCGACAATACGCCATGGACCAGGACCTGACTTTCCAGCAAAACGCTGGGAAGACTAATCCGATCTACCCAGGGAACTCTAACCCAGTTTACCCGCAAAACACCATGGATACCAACTCGATCTTTCCACAAACTACCGGGAACTCTAACCTGATGGACGAGCCAAACCTTGTCCCTGAATCCGCAAGGTCAACTGATATTTATGACAAACCCTGCATCCAGCCATATGCTGCCGGGTGCCAGACAGAAGAAGATGATGATGAAGACAAGAACAAACACAGAAGATGTGATGACAACGTCTGCAACCAGCTACATGCTGTCAAATACAAAGAAAAAGATGACGATGGCAATAACGAACTGACAAAATGGGAAGACACCACTTCTAGCCAGCCATACTCTGTCAGATACGTATACAACAGCGAAGAACATGATGACAATAACATACACACAAAACGTAGCATCCAGCCATATGCTGTCAAATACCAAGAAAAAGACGATGAGGACAATGACAAACGCATAGAACGTGATGGTAACCCTTGCATCCAACCATATGCTGTTAGATACCAGACTCAAGACGATCAAGACAATGGAAAACACGCAGAACACAAGTGTTCAGCAGTTCTCGTAGAACACACTAGCGAGATCAGCCCTACTAATGTCGATATCCAACCCTACGCTGTTAAATACATGTGTCAGGATGACGTGGCATACATGGCGTCGAGTTCAGAAGAAACGCAAACAAAGGAGTCAAGTAACAAAATAAAAAATGTTGCAGACTGCAGCAATGGTTCATCCAATGATGATACTGACACTTCAGTCTTTGTTGGAGACAACAGAAACCTACGCCAAGTACGACATCCCCTGAAGACTCTTCATCCAAGTCCAACCTGTGCTCAAAACGTCCTGAACTCTAATCCAACCAACGCGGTACTAAACGCCCTGATCCCCAATCAGATGTACGCCCAAATCCCGGATCAGAGGAACGCTCAAGGCGCCTTAATCCCTAATCAGATGCACGTGGCTAACGTCCGCCCACAAAGAGCAGGCGGTAAGATCTATATTATATGATGTCAACCTGTATGTTGTACCGACCATTAATATTTTCCATCTGTCTGATTTTATTACTCCGTGAAGGTGGTATCCTTTCTTCAGGAGTATTGTTTTTTTTTCGTTCTCAGCTAAAACACAGGGTCCCCTTTGTTTATAATCGGCATTGGTCGTCAGTTGCTAATGTATGGGGGCTGATTTTAAATGTGTTCGCAGTTAAAGCATATGGTTGTGTCCGTTGTATGTTGTATTTTGTGGTGTGCCATTATGTTCGTGATGATGCGCGTTTTCTTCTTTTTAACATAGCAGTTTTTATTTTGAAGTAAATGCATATTTCAGTAACACCCCTACTTTTACAATCCTGTGGAACAGGCCGTGGTAGGTTAGTAGTTGTCTGGTAGCCGAGGTTCTATAAGCAGACATAAGGTGGTTGTTGTGTATCGTTGCGAGTACGTAAACTTGTATCTGTTGTGATTGTGACTTATGGTTTGCACCTACTACGATATCTTGTAAAATAAATACGATTTTTCTTACTAGTGTGTAGTAAATGAAAGTGGGACATTTCAGCACCAGGGATAGCTGTGTAAGCGGGACTGTCGATTCAGCACCAGGGACAGCTGTCCCTGTGTTAGTGGGACTGTCATTTCAGCACCAGAGACAGCTGTCCCTGTGTTAGTGGGACTGTCATTTCAGCACCAGAGACAGCTGTCCCTGTGTTAGTGGGACTGTCATTTCAGCACCAGAGACAGCTGTCCCTGTGTTAGTGGGACTGTCATTTCAGCACCAGAGACAGCTGTCCCTGTGTTAGTGGGACTGTCATTTCAGCACCAGAGACAGCTGTCCCTGTGTTAGTGGGACTGTCATTTCAGCACCAGAGACAGCTGTCCCTGTGTTAGTGGGACTGTCATTTCAGCACCAGAGACAGCTGTCCCTGTGTTAGTGGGACTGTCATTTCAGCACCAGAGACAGCTGTCCCTGTGTTAGTGGGACTGTCATTTCAGCACCAGAGACAGCTGTCCCTGTGTTAGTGGGACTGTCATTTCAGCACCAGAGACAGCTGTCCCTGTGTTAGTGGGACTGTCATTTCAGCACCAGAGACAGCTGTCCCTGTGTTAGTGGGACTGTCATTTCAGCACCAGAGACAGCTGTCCCTGTGTTAGTGGGACTGTCATTTCAGCACCAGAGACAGCTGTCCCTGTGTTAGTGGGACTGTCATTTCAGCACCAGAGACAGCTGTCCCTGTGTTAGTGGGACTGTCATTTCAGCACCAGAGACAGCTGTCCCTGTGTTAGTGGGACTGTCATTTCAGCACCAGAGACAGCTGTCCCTGTGTTAGTGGGACTGTCATTTCAGCACCAGAGACAGCTGTGCTTGTGTCACTGGGACTGGCATGTCAGCACCAGGGACAGCTGTATTTGTGTTTGATATGCAAGATATAAAACTTCACGGAGAATTGTCGCCATTGGGCACTTGTTTTCGTTTGAAAGGTTATCTATATATTGCTATCATGCCTATGTATCTAAATCATTTTAATGCTTAAAAGCATGGCCAACATAAGCGTGGTGAACATAACCATGGTTGTTTCGCAGTAAAGACCGTATATCAATATCTCAATTTAGAAAGGAATTGACAAATGGAATTCATTTCTATCTGTTTGACGTTTCAATTATTGTTGTTATTTTCCAGGACGCAGATATCCTGCCTTGACGACTTTTTTAAAAACAACTATTGTCGTGTTGTTATGAACCGCCGGCGGAATTATCACCGGTGTATCTTTCTACAAGTATGCCCAGGATGTCCAAATGGTAAGCGCTCTGTATCTGTATCTGCCGGTATAACCGTCCCTCGCGTAACGCACGAGCTTCGCAGGCACGCGGCGCTCCTGCTATATTACACCGAACGGTTTTTTTTACAACTAGCCGTTAAATATTTAACTCTAAACATGGTTTAAAGCTCCCTGAAATAGTTTTGACAGCTTGGTTAGTCACTTAATAAAGAGACTCTTTTTCCACAACTAAGAGGTTTATTCAGCCGCGACGTTCTGCTGACAGAATTGCCCTGAAGAAAGAGACTGACGGTCACCGAAACGTCGGCTAATAAACCCCTTGTTTGTCTTAATTGAGTCTCTTTATTCATTGTTTAAAGCTTTCTAGTGATGAAGTAACATTTCGTCTTCTACCCTCGTTCTTTGGAGGTTTTCCGTCTCTGTGGAATCTCATATGATCGATACTTTTTACACGTAAAACAGCAACCTAACATCATTCAATCGGTCTTCCATTACAGCCAATTACAAGTTTTACAAATGGCCCTTTCTGGACAACAGAAACAACACAGTCATTTACCCCCTCCAGCTCACAAGGTAACGTCATTTGATTTTTTGTACAATTACTTTACGCGTGGGGCCGCAATCTAACGACTAGATTCAGTGCACAGTGAACAGGTAACACGTGCACCTAGCTTCAGCGCACAGTGTACCAGTGACCGAACCAGTAACACCTAGCTCCAGTGCACAGTGAACGAGTAACACATAGCTTCAGTGCACAGTGAACCAGTAACACCTAGCTTCAGTGCACAGTGAACCATTAATACCTAGCTTCAGTGCACAGTGAACCAGTAACACCTAGCTTCAGTGCACAGTGAACCAGTAACACCTAGCTTCAGTGCACAGTGAACCAGTAACACCTAGCTTCAGTGCACAGTGGACCAGTAACACCTACATGTAGCTTCAGTGCACAGTGAACCAGTAACACCTAGCTTCAGTGCACAGTGAACGAGTACTCGAGTAACACCTAGCTTCAGTGCACAGTGAACCAGTAACACCTAACTTCAGTGCACAGTGACTCACGGATAACACATAGCTTCAGTGCAAAGTGAAGGATAATAATAAATCTTTAGGATGTCCCAATGACTATATTGCGCATGATGATATTCTACAAGGTGTGCAACCAAACTAAAACCTAAAACCTTTAACTTAAGGATTATAACAGCTTCTTCAGGTTGCCCTACTGGCTACATTGCGCATGATGGTGCATTCTACAAGGTGTACAACCAAAGCAAGACCTACGACCAGGCCAGGGAGCAGTGCGCAGCAGACGGGGGGCTCCTGGCCATGCCGAAGAACAAACAGCTCGACGCCTTCTTGTTCAGGCTGAAGAACGCCCTGGTTGGGCCCGCGTCTGGATATGTCTGGTTCGGACTGAGCGATGAGCACCGTGAGGGTGAGTGGAAGTGGGCAGACGGGACTCCACACAACATCACCGCCGACTGGGGGAACTGGGTACCGTACCAGCCTGAAGGTTGCGCACACTACTACGGGTGGATATCGGAAGGATGGAATAGCATGCGGTGCGATTTCTCTAATAAATTCATCTGCCAGCTGGCACAGCGTATGTCACCACAAGTTCTTTCTACTTACGGCTTCATTTCTATAGCAATCTGTAACTTCCATATTGGCACTATATGTAAAGTCCTTTGATTTTAAAGGCATCCAATGTAATTTCAGTTTATTATGAGCGCCCCCCCCCCCAAAAAATAAAGGTATTCATCATGTAACTTTTTGGGGCTATTTCAGGTAAGAAATGTTGACAAAAATTTGCTAAGAAATGGCAGTAATTGTCAATATTAGACAGAATGTTTTTTGCCGCCATGAACTTGCGTTAGATGTCTTTATGTCTCATTACAATCTTCCCTGCACTTCAGATCCGGCTGGTTCAAATGAAGAATCACGTGATGAAGCCCCATGCGGCATGACTGTGGACGAAACAGGTTTTTATTTGTTAAACAGGTGTATAAAAGTTCACCACAGCGGTACATACTCCATGGAGGGGTGAAATATTTGATTTCATGTTTTAAGTGTCGTTCCAACAGGGTATAAGAAGTGGCGCGATGATGGGCGATGTGGCCAAGAGTTTCCTTTAGAAGACGGCAGTCCTGCTGAATGTGACCCTGACAGTGTGGACCCATGTTGCTCCCCTAGAAACTGGTGCGGCAAAACTATTTGGCACTGCGACTGTTGGCATTGTGTCGACTACAGCAAGAAGCCAGCTACACGTCTGTACCCTTCATAATGTCGTTATTTTTCCTCGTATCTGTGTCTGTGAACAGTACTGGACAACTGGATGATTATGTCTCATAACAATCTTCCCTGTACTTCAGATCCGGCTGGTTCAAATGAAGAATCACGTGATGAAGACCCATGCGGCATGACTGTGGACGAAACAGGTTATTATTTACTCTTGCTATTATTCTCGTTTGCTTTTATTCTTGCCATAGGAAGGCATTTGACAGTGTGTGGGGGATGGCCTGTTCTACTCGTATAAGTTGCAAAATGATCCTGAAACCTGTTTCTTAATGACTGGACGAGACGCTCTTTGAGCAACAAAATGTCAGACTGCCGTGAACTGAAGCTAACGCCCCCAAGCATAAATCCTGACGGATTGTTGATCTTGCTCCAGTCTGCCCAGGAAAGCTTGACGGATCGGACTACCGCGGCAACCTCTCCGTCACTAAAAGTGGGAGGACCTGCCAGCGATGGGATTCCAACACTCCTCACTTTCATCACAACTACTGGCCGGGGACGTCAGGGCCGGGGACTGACCCTGACGTGGCCGAGAACTACTGCCGCAATCCAGACAGTGACGAGACCACTCTGTGGTGCTACACAACGGACCCTAGCACACGCTGGGAGTACTGTAACAACCCGACATGCCTTATCTAACTTACCTTATATATATCAAAACATAATTTTGGTTTATCATATCTTCGTTGGTACTTTATCAATTTCATTGTTATATATTTAAGTTTACCGAAGGAAAACATATTGTTTTTGCTCAGTTTCTTCATCCTATTTTCTTCTTCTCCAAACAGTGACCAATGTTGTATCTATTACCATGGTAACTAGTGTTGGCTTACATCATGTTGCAATTTTATAGCAGGAGGGACTTACACTCCTGTCTGATCATATACTAGTATATGAATGTGTTTGAGTAAGAATCAACAGAGCAGACCATATGTGAAGGTAAACATTATGCATTTGCCTTGCAAACGTTACTTTTCTAGTTTATTGGAAAGTTTGTAAGACACATTGCCACAGTTGTCCTACATTTGTGAATTTGACGTCAAGGTTAACTATGTGAGTAGTCGAGAAAACATTTAGTGCTGAAAATTCCCTGCCAAGACATCGCTGGATATCAGCAGTTTCCGTACTTTTTTTCTCATAAGTTTAAATGAAATTGACTTCTTTTCACTTATTTGCATTTATAATATTCTGTACCATGTAGGTGTTAGCCAAGAGTGTTTCACTTGATCAGTAGACTGTAGTATCAGAGAATTAAGGTACAGCACCTGTAATACTATATTTGGCAGATGGTAAAACATCTTTGTCTAGGCGCGACCCCTAGCGGATGTAAAGTTAATAAACACTGCAGCTTCTGACCTCCTGAGGAGCCAAATTGTTCAGCCACAATTTCTACTATCTTTAATACAGCAGCCCAATGTGTCTGGTAGAGACTAATGTGTTACAATTCTCATGTACAAGACTAGAAGATAGAGAATTTCATGTTGGCACGCTTGGGTGACGCTGAATGTTGTAAGTTTCGATAATGTCCGGTAGTAGCACAAGATGAACGCATTGCCGTTTCTCTACACTTTCGGAGAAACATCTATGTAATGTTGCGTTGGATGGTCGGGATGTTTGCGTGAACAAAGAATAAAGGAATCATATCATGAATATGCACAATAGGATGCCTAGACCTGTTTTTATTTTTATTTTTTTTCGCCCTGTCGCTTCATATTTTTTCTGAAAAAATCCGAGAACCAACAAATTAAATTGGTGTGGCCTAAAGGAAACAACAATATTCTTACAAACCATGATTTTATTCAGAATTTACAAATCACTAGCAAACTGGAAAAACTGGTTTTGGAGTCACTATCTCACAATGGCCTAATGAAAATATCTGAGTCTGATTTATATATTCACTTACCTATGCTGAAATTGATTGAAACATAAAGTGTGAAATGATTCAATCTATGAGTTCTAGTATTTCTATTACTGAATTGGGATCTGAATATCAGGATTCCAATTTCCCCTAGGGGAGATTGGAATCCCTATCTCCCCCAGGAGGATTCCAGATTCTCCTAGGGGAAATAGGGATTCCAATCTCCCCTAGGAGGATTCCGGATCCCCCTGGATTCCAATCTCCCCTGTGACATTATATATATATATACTAGTATGCTTTTTGCTGCTGCAACTTGTGACTGCACGACCGGGCCCCGGGTTGTGACCTTCAAGCATTACAGTCCTCGGCATTACACAATCTCTGATGGTAGGCTGGGCGTTATTCTTCAGTCCCTCGCAGGATTTTCAGAAAAAGACATGTACATGTATATATAAACGTCCCCTTTCTTTCGTGTTTTGCACTATTGGCTTTGCTGCTAAAGCCGACAGACTCTACAAAGAAGCACAGACCGTTTCAACTTGGTCTCCAGTGGTCATTTCAGACGCGTTGATCTTTCTCATGTACGTTTCATTCGGAGTTTGGTCAAAGGTGGTGTGTTCAGTTGTAGACTAATTTCCTACAGGCTAAAGCCTCAGTACAATGTGGTATGCAAGAAACTGCGGTTCGAAAATCTGAGCAAGCAGGTGGTCAGTCCTGGTGCCAAATTTTCGAAGCGATTTTTGTCTGTGCTAGCATTTCTACGTCTCGTAGTCTTTGGGAATGGTGACCACCAAGCAGAAAATGTTGGTCTGGTTCAGCATAATTGTTGTCGTGGGGTGCATCCCTCAAAATGGTAAGCAAACATTTCGTTGCTACAAAAATCATGGTCAAATTGCATTCACTGCGCAATGAGCAGATGTAAGAATAAATGTATTATGTTTACCGAAGGAAAACATATTGTTTTTGCTCAGTTTCTTCCTCTTCTTCTCCAAACAAATAAGGTCAATGACCTGAAGCAGACCGTCTGTCACCATGGTAATTAGTGTTGGGTTGCATCATGTTGCAATTTTATACAAGGAGGGATTTAGACTCCTGTCACCACACATGTATACATGAATGTGTTTGAGTAAGAATTAACAGAACAGACAATATGCAAAGGTAAACACTATGCATTTGCTTTGCAAATGTTACCTTTCTACTACAATGTAGGACTCTTTTCTTGTATTGTGAATGGAATAGATGTATCTGCCGTGTAAGTCAGGTCCCGGCAAATATTCCCCACAGCGTGTAAGTTCAACCTGGCGGCAGACTGTTACGTGCGACCCCGACAAAGCCCAGACGACAAGCCCACGATATCCAGTTACCTTGTGAAAACCATCAGAATTTTATATGCATATTTTGCATCACATTCCTATTATCGAGTCTGAAACTTGTCCTGGAAGCGTAGATAGGATATAGGGATTTTATTTTTACATAACCAAATATTCCCTCAGCTTGCTTACGCTTCGGTCAGTCTATCAGATATCTGATGATAGACACCGAAACGTAAGCAACATGAGAAAAGTTTTGGTTGTGTTACAAGAAAATCCCTATATTCTATGTTCTACCAATCTGGTGAAACTATTGTCGGTAGATGTGTCAACTCGTTGTATAATCAGACACTTAGGGATAGGCACCGGCTATGTAACATGCAAATTATATATTTCAGCATTTAACCGCCCAAATCGTCAAAATGATGTCATACATTCGTCGTGCTAAATGATATGAAAAATTATTTTTAAGGGGGAAATATGAGATAATTGTTCTTTTGATTTGTTTCATTCGGTAAATTGTTACTGTTTTTTTTAGATTATTTTTGATGCGTCACCCGCGCAGGTACTCGATCGACCTTCTCTCTCTTAGGCCATGTTGATTTGATTATATGTTGACATGTTGATTGATGACATCCTCTGGGAACCCCAAAACTGATGCGCGCGTGCGAATAAAAAAAAGTTTCGCAAAAAAAAAGTTGCTTTCACTATGAAATCTACGTGGTCATGAAGGTTGAACAAATGGGACAGAATATGTTATGGCGATAATCTACTCTTCGAATTCATTTCTTTACATTTTTGTTCTTTTTTTCCTTTGATTTTGGCATTCTACGACATTGGTATCGTTTCTAAATGTTTTCCTTGCAACTTATGGTATATTTTTGCTCATTTAGCAACTGTTTTGCACGATTTACAGTATGGTTGAAAACTTTTTTTTTTTGGAAACGGCCGAAAATTCATGCGCGCGCGGATGTCATCCATATAATCAAATCAACATGGCCTTAGTTTCCTTCCACTGACTCCTCTAGGTAAAGATTCAAACAGATCAGAACAGCTGGCCGCAACAACCTACACGTTCGTCGGCAGGTCACAGTTTACCAACGCTCTCTACCGAGATCAAAGCACACTGCAGATGACGACCGATCCACCCGTCAAAGTGGAACCGATCCACCGTCAAAGTGGAACCGATCCACCCGTCAAAGTGGGAACCGATCCACCCGTCAAAGTGGGAACCGATCCACCAGTCAAAGTGGGAACCGATCCACCAGTCAAAGTGGGAACCGATCCACCAGTCAAAGTAGGAACCGATCCACCCGTCAAAGTGAGAACCGATCCACCCGTCAAAGCAGGTTGGTGTCTAACGTATATTACCTACAGTGCCGCTTGCCTGGTGGATTGACTGTTCATTATATTAATTTCGAAAGGTTGTCATCAGTACTAGTATCCATTCTTAACCAGGGGAAAGCTGAATGGTACAACGGTCACCTCATTTTCTCTCTTCATCTTCCTGCTATATTCATGTTTGTTGGGGGGGGGGATCAAATCTTTGCTTTCATAACTATTTTTCCAACAGGGTATAAGAAGTGGCGCAAAGATTGGCGATGTGGCCGAAAGTTTCCTTTAAAAGACGGCAGGCCTGCTGAATGTGACCCTGACGGTGTAACCCCATGCTGCTCCCCTGGAAACTGGTGCGGCAAAACTGCTGACCACTGCCACTGTCGGGGTTGTGTCAACTACAGGAAGAAGTCAGCTGCACGTCTGTACCCTTCATTAGTTTTTTTTTTCTGTGACTGTGAACAGGACTGGAAAAGTTGTGGAATGGGGAACGGGTTTTCTGCGCGTGAAAAAATTGGAAAATGTTGTCCGGTGGTATAATTTTCCATCTGTTACCTGAAATTTGTGTCTGAAATATTAGCTCCCTCGGAGTGGGTTAATTTGCATATATTCCATGAAACCCGAACATTTGAAAATCACTTGAATTTGTCAGAAATACATGTACACATGTACAAGGAAAAGCTACTAGTATAACATTTTGTACTGTTAAATGTAACAATTTGAAGCTTTTCTCCTTTCTAGAAGCTTGATTTCAAATATTTTAAACAGATTCTTTCACGCGCAAATTTAAACTTCTTTTAACAACATTTAGGCTTAGAACAGCAAAAAGTTTTTTAATCTATTCAGAATCAGCTAATTTGTATATTTTCACGCACACGTTTTTCACGCGCACAAAACCCAATCCCGTGGAATGTGTTGTCAAAGGGAAAGTTTGTAAGACACAATGCCTTAATTGTATTAAAAACAGAGAAAACAAAGTGCTGAAAATTCCCTGCCAAGACATAACTGGATATTGGCAGTTTCCGTACTTTTTCTCACAAGCTTATATAAAATTGTCTCCTTTTCACTTCTTTGCATTCATAATATTCTGTACCTACCAACTTCTACCCACCAGTGGCAATTAATACAGAAGTGCTTCTCTTCTGTTTTCCTCAAGGCCGACTTTGTTGACCTCTAGACCGGTGCATTCAAGATACTGAGTCCAACTTGTACAGTCACTACAGCCTACAAACTCATCCCCATCTTCCTGTTTGTTACAGGCAAAACACGCACTCGCGGCAGTGATGGATTCTTCACAAATGTCAAGAACGCCGTCAGCTCTCTGTTCGGTAGATGAACTCCTGGGGAGCCAAATTGTTCAGCCACGATTTCTACGATCTTATAGCAGCCCAAGGTTAGCCTAGATGCCACAGTCGATATGTAACGGCACCCCCGGGGTTGCCGTTACATATCGGATGGCATCCAGGCTAGCCCAAGGTGTCTGGTAGAGACTAAATGTGTGGATGAATCTTTTTCCCCTGCGTTAATACCGGAATCGATCCCATGTGTATTACATACTTTCGTGTTTAATCTGGACATTATCCCCAACCAGGCTAATGGACATTTTTTAAGGAAACACGACCAAGTGTGTGAAATAGACGAAGAGAACAATTTGGATAACATCATTCTTTATTCTCCAGACACGAAAACTCATCAGGTTTATCAAGTAGCAAAAACCTACGCTATTGCAAATTTTTATTCCCACCTTCACATTCATCTGTACCCTACTATTTTCAGTGGTGCCTATAAATTGATATATTTGATGAGCACAGTGCAATTTTTGTAGTTCACTTTTCATTGGTATACTTAACAATCTCAATAGTAAAGATATTAAGTATACATGCAAAATTGAAAAGCATGCAAATAAAATTGATCAGAACATTTAGTCACCCACGATTTTTAATGGCGTGCATTCAGGCTACACATGTATGTACTGTGTCCTAACTCAACTGTAAACATACATCCCTGAACACTTGGTATATTTCAATAACTCAACAATTTATATATGTCATTTTAACAGAATCCACCATTTTATATTCAATGACCAGCCATTTTCTAGCCTGCATTTTTTACAGAGTTGAGGAATTAATACTTAAGCAGTTCATTAATACAATCACTGTTAGAGGATAGGCTCAATAAAGGTGAGTGGCATACAACAGCATATTTCATTGTGCTATTCTACCACTTACTGTTCCTGAACAATTTTGAATCAAATTTAAGTCCATGATTTGCAAGATACATGTACATTAATTTTTAGAATATTAAAAAAAAAACAGAAAAAGTGCTTCATGTGTTTGCAGAATACAAGTGCATTTTTGTACATCCCTTGTCATTTTGTATGATGCAAACTTAAAACACTACTAATCCTCTACTGTGAGAAGTCTCTACAAATTTTTGCTGTGCAGCTTTTGTTTTACTCTTGCCATGTCCTAGCAGAGAAAAAGAGCAAAATGTAGACATTAGAGGGAGACTTTAAAACACACAAGTTATTGTAAAACACTTGGTCCCTACATCTGCTTTGAGATGAACACATGGTACACATGTACATTTGTACCTAGGATGAAAGGCAGTTGAAAATGTCAATCAGTGTAGACACAACCCTAAATATACTTCAAAAGATAAGAAGTGCTGACCACTGCCTTGGATGTACATACAATGTACATCCAAGAAATAATTTTTGAATTCCTTGACAGTCAGAAACAATACCTCCACACAAGGATGTTACAATATGGCTGGATAACATATTAGTAGTACATTTGTACTTACTTCATGCATTGCAAAAGAAATACATGATTCTTCAAACAAGGACTCAGGTGCATTTACAGAAGAATTAACAGTGATAAAACGAATTGTTTGTGACCAAATAAGTCAACTTGTCATAATTGAAAGTAGTGGTAATACATAAGGACATAAGAAATTTGCATAATTGGCACATACATGTACTTAACATTGCACAACAGATCCACGATGAAACCAACATTTCTTAAACAGAAAGTGTCACTAAGTATTGATAAAAATATTGCTTTCAATACGAAGACATTTTTCTATAACAGTGTGGGTGTGGACTAGTAAATATGGTTGTAATTTTTCCTCTTAACAACATTAATATCATTTCATATTAAAACAAGAAAGAAAGCTAGAAAGGTAAAATTTGCAAAGCAAATGCATAATGTTTACCTTTGCATATGGTCTGCTCTGTTAATTCTTCGTCAAACACATTCATATATAGGGTCAGACAGGAGTCTAAATCCCTCCTGCTATTAAATTGGAACATTATGTAACCCAACACCAGTCACCATGGTGACAGACTATCTAGTTCAGGTCATTGACCAGGTTAGAGGTCAGTGTTTGGAAAAGAAGAAAAAAACAGAGCAAAAACAATATGTTTTCCATTAGTAAACATAATAACTACACAAAGACAGGCACACTGTAACACACCTCCATATACTGAGGGAGTAAACAATTTGGCAAGCTGAAAGAATCCAGGCCTGGCATTATAAATCACACATTGCAGGAATCAGAAATGAAGTATTTCCAGTCCTGTTTTGATAAATAAAGTTTTGGAAAGTTAAATGACTCTCAAGCCATCATGTATAATAGACAATAATCAATTTTTATAAAAGTCTTCATCACCATTATTGGCTTGATTACCTGTAGAAATAATGGGTACTAGACATGCATAGTAAAACTTAAACAGACCTTTATTTTCAGAAGTTTAAGAGAAGTACGGATTGTAGTGCTTGTATTTCAGACAATTTAGGCTCTAATATCTAAATTTTTTTTGAGAAGTAGAATTTAAATACAAACTAATTTGACAGTAAAACGTTAAACTTTATTCCAACACACTATTTACAGGGATCAAATTTTCAGCGACCACTGTCGCCTTCATCAGGATAATTAATGACCAATCACTTCAAAACGTGATCTCGCGAGAGTTACGGTTTACAAACACATGACCTTATTCACACGAGACTTTACTGATACGTGACGTAAGCAATTGATCAAAAGTGCCAGGGAGTTTATATCGATCAATTGATCAATTGCTTACGTCACGTATCAGTAAAGTCTCGTGTGAATAAGGTCACGTGTTTGTAAACCGTAACTCTCGCGAGATCACGTTTTGAAGTGATTGGTCATTAATTATCCTGATGAAGGCGACAGTGGTCGCTGAAAATTTGATCCCTGTAAATAGTGTGTTGGAATAAAGTTTAACGTTTTACTATGATTACTACCAACACAGATGAACTTTCATGATAAAGTAATTTGACATTGCCAAAAAGCAATATTGTTAATTCACAGGAGACAAATATTCATTTTCTTGTCATTTAGCAAGCAAAATGACACACAACTTTGGAGAACATTGAAATTTTTAAAAGTTCAATCACTAGGACAGAATATCAAGGTATCAGGACCATTTTTTTCAGTTTCCATTATTTTGTGAAAAAGTGAAAGAATGGAGGTTGTACTGAACATTGTAAGATAACCAAATAAGACTTGTAAATGTGAAGGAATGAAATTGATTTGTGTAACAATTATTCCTTTTTTAAGAAGTCTCTTGGCCACCCCTAACATATCCAATGGCATGATCCTTAATCGTCTTCTTGCTGTAACCCTAACACCTCCACAGACACACAGTGGAAGTCCCCACTGGCACACAGGGGTGCATTGTTGAAGGTCTTGCATCTCTTGGTGTGACCTCGGTTCATCTCTTGGTCCAGAAATATGCCATCCCCATCTCTGCAATAATAATGTTTATATGATAAACTCTCGGTTTTTTTTGCATTTTTAGTACTACATGTATATGCCAATTACATATTATATACAATTATATATTCTTATTACCTCCTTTAAATGGGAATTTTTTTTGTGTCTGTTTGCTTCTCTGTGACTGTTTTTTCACACTTAGTTCCACGAACTATGTACATTGTGGACACTTAGATCAAGTTAGGTCCAAGGTCTCAGAAAGTCCCATATTGGATCATCAAAGGTTATCTCATGTCTTGTCTTCAATTTCCTGCCAGATGCATATCTATTGCCTTATTCGAGTCAGTGGTAACAATGCATACACAGAATCAGTGAGAAATTTACAATTATGATGAATAAAACCTCACGTAACATTTGTCTAGTAATCTCCAAGCAGATGTTTTGGTGAACGCTTTATCTCCGCTCCGTTCCTCCGCTCTGCCTTTACCATGGAAGGCAGAGCGGAGGAACGGAGTGGAGATAAAGCGTTCACGGATGGATTCCAGGCTAAGACAGTATCAAATATTGGCTAGGTAGTATCCATTAGCCAGACAGTACTGCAAATGGATACTGGCTAACGTATACTGCCTGGCCAATTTGATACAATCTTTTGCTGTCACTGCTTGGAGATTATTGTCTAGTGCAAAGTCCTGACTTACCCTCCCCCGATGACCAGACTTGTGTTGTCAGCCGAGATGAACATACTATGGGATGGGCTGAGGTCCCCGCTGTCTGCCACCCCCACCCAGGGGTATCTCACCGGCCCCGGGGTCAGGGAAAACAGGAACATCTCCCCTGTACCGAAGTACGCCCGGCTTTTGTTCTTGTCAGCTGTGTAGTCAAGGCTTTCTGTGATGAATGCACCAAATATCTGGAGATGAAGGACAAACAGAAACATGGCGTCATTGCTGTGTTTACCATAGACAGCATGTCAGCAGAACGTACTGCGTATGTGCGAAAACCTGAGTTTTCATGGTTTTCGTTGGATGTTTGGTCACCGTAGCATCAGAATTTTACCTGTTGCAGGGGATATCTTTTCCGACATAACATTTGGAAACTACTGACGGGATGTTAATCTTACATGCACGACTATGACCTTATATGAGACATTCTGCCAAAGTGATGTGCATAATACAATACAGGTTTCACACTGGTGCAGTGCGTTCTGCCAACGTGCTACCATAGACCTTTTCAGGGATCAGATTGCATGCTGGGAACCATGGGGAACTATGGGTAGGTCAAGGATGTACGATATCCTTAGTACGATAACACATAACAGTACAGATACCTGTCCTTGGTGCTGAATGCCATCCATACACACAGACACACACCCATCCATGCACCTACACACACGTGCAACATACCAATGTCATGATAGAAATGATGTCTGAGCTACTGTAACAGTACCCACACTGCTCTGCGCCACCCTGCATGCAATTAGATCTATGGAAGTGTCTATGTTCAAAGAAACTAGTGTAGTTTTATCTTCTCAAATGGATCTTCTTGGAGCAAAGAAACAAAACTGTGCCATATCTGACAAGCTGACAAGACTATACTATTCGACAGCAGGGGAAGAAAAGAGACAGAAGAGTGCTAACCTCATCGTTCTTGGTCTTGATGACCAGCAGGATGGGCTGGTTGTCGGCACACTTCTGGTACAGGTTCCTCAGGTGGTACCCGTCCTCGTGGCTGGAGAAGATGACACGAGGCTCGTACAGGGAGAACCTCTGGGGCAGCCAGCACCACAGCTGATGGATCTACATGGGGAGAAACACACAGGTGTTCATTAAAGTTAAAACTTTTGATCCAACACGAAGAAGTTCTCTCACCTAGGGCTTTCAACCAGTTACTCTGGTCTTCCTCAGTACACTGACCCAGTGAGGCTTGTCACGTGGCTTCTTTGAAGTGTGACGTCAACACTGGGTCAAAGGTATCTGGTAAACAATGTCGTCACCAAGCTGAGGAAGCCAAGGGCCCTTCCAGTAACCATTTTCCATCAGAATTTTGGGAATGTTTGCTCCACATGAGGGTCAATATACATTGGGATAATGTGGTTTGAACTCAGTATGTAGATAAATGGCTAGAATATTGGCTCAGGTTTCCAAGCCCTAAAAACTGCACTGAATGCCTTTAACAAATAGTACACAAAAGTTGTTGCATTTCCATTCACTCAAGTGGCGTGTTTATGCAAAAGATGGTTAGGCTGGCTGCATTAAACTACTGATACAATACAGATACAAACACGAACCTGTGCATGGTTCAGTACGTTCGACTCTACAGGAGAAAGGGCGATGGAGCCGTGTGTGGCGGTGTGGGTGGGGCTGTCGATGGTTATGGCCGGGGCGCCCTTCCTCTGTAGAGTCGCCAGGTGGCGCTGCTGCAGTGTGGAGCACAGCTTCCTGGACAGGTTCCTGATTTTGAAAGCTTTCTGTGGAAACAGGAATTATGGAAGGGTCATGTTAAAGAAAATGAACACAAAATATGGAGTCCACTTTAACAACTTGTTATCCATCCGTGAATAGTTTCATCAGGTTGGTAAGTCACAGAGTATAGAGACTCCTTTTACACAACCAAGTCTTTTATTCAGCTGACGTTTCGGTGACCATCTGTCACCTTCCTCAGGGCAATTCTGACTGGTTCACATTGCACTGCAGCACAAGTGTCGCTGCTATAGATGCATTACTACAATATTTGTGCTACCGTGCAATGACATGAAACACAACATTTTTTTTCCTAGGCCCAACCATAATAGCAAGAAATGCTTTTTAAAAAGCTGGCCCAGGGCCAAAATGGGAATAGCCTGCAGCTGATATCTCTCTCTCTGTCTCTCTCTATGTTATTCTGCCAAACCCATGTTATAATATATATGTATATTATACATAAATAGTATAACATGGGTTTGGCAGAATAACACAGCATATTATCCTGACCTTGAGAATGTCCTTGACTGGGATGTGTGAGCTGATGTTCCGGCACCAATCCTGGATAGACTGTCGGACATCAGAGGGTGGAGCACCTGGGAAATGTACAAACCTCTTACTGATTGGCTAGGCAACAACAAGGAAACGGAAAACTGACCAATGATTGGTCAGCAAAAATCCAGGTACACATCGGAAACAGAAAACAGCTTGCTTATTGGTTGGGATGTATCTAATGCAAGGAGTTGCCTGTTGCTGCCATTTGACTATAATTTACAGAAGATAAGCCACATATCTTATCATGACATACCGTTAATTTGTTTGTGCCACTTTACCAGCAGTATAACACCCACTCTGTAGAGAACCTTCATTCCTTCCACAAGGTAGCAATCCATGACATGAACCTGTGACAAACCAAGGGGACTCAATATACTCAAATGGCAAAATAGTGTTGTTAACACATATTTATGGCACCAAAAATACTTTTCAAACTCAAGGGAAATGCATAGGTTACTGTTACTGCTAAATTTTAAGATGCTAATGCTAAATGCATGGAAGACCCATTTTAATTACTTTGAGGACTTGACGTCAAAATGTGGATGGTATTTAGCACCTCAGAGAGGTACCATATGGATGGTGAACATGTACATTTGTTAGTGTGTGGATGGCATTCAGCACCAAGGATAGGTATGCTAGCCTCAGTGTGTGCAGAGGCGGCGGCAGGAAATTTTGATTGGGGGGGCAAGATTTCGGGCGCCGA